CTGCGCGCCGCGGGGCAGCGCGCGGCACGCGGAGCGGCGGCGGCAGCGCAGTCTGGGCACGAAGGGGACCCGACTCAGGACGCACAAGTGACCACATACCAGACCACCCCAACCCAACCCGAAGACCCGAATTTCGCCCACATTTCGGGTTGGGGGGGGGGGGTACTGGTTTCCTGATTGGTTTTTCAACGTTGCCCGACCCCCCCCCACCACTGGAGATGGAGGGCAGATCGGGGCCTTCGGGTTGGGTCGGGATGCTGTGGTGGGCGGTGAACGAGGGCGTAGTGCGCGTCCTCCTCGGAGGCCTGCGTCCGACCCAGACATACAGCACAACCACCTTGCAGAGTAACGTTTCCCGAGCGGCATGGCCAGAAAGCGCCCGCCACGGAGCTTATACTGCAAGATTTCTCCGCGCGCGCCCCATTTTCCCGGGGGAGCGGCGCACATCTAGCATTAGCGTGTTGGGGTGCTGCCGACAAAACTCCACAGCTTACATTTTTGTCCATCGACGATCGAGGACCCAGATTTTGTGGATCGAAGCATCGAGGCCTCGAGTCCTCGAAGAAGGTGGGTCCGTGGGCCCACGTCTTTAAGCGCTCTCCGGGCATCCGGGAGCGGACTCCAAGGAGGCGCCCAAGGCCCTCCAGGACAGCGCAGGATCGAACATGTTGATAACAGGCCTCCGGGCTTCGAAAACCCAAACCTACAACAACTTAACCGGCGAAGACAAATACGAGATATGTTGTTCGCTCTCGGGAGAGCCTACCCCAAGGCGGCTGGAAAGTTTATACCATTACGGTGGCACCGTAGGTGTATAACCCTTCCAGTCGCCCCCGCAGAGACGAATGCGCATTTGGCAATGCCGCTCGTTGGTTTGCATCCGCCTCCTTCCGCCTCTCCCTTTCCATTCGTCTGACCGTTGCCCGATCCGTCGTGTCGTGGTACGAGGGCCACGCCTTTCCACCTCCGTTTCCTCTCCCTCCATCTGTCAACGTCAGCGTACTCCTGACGACTCGCGTTTCTCTTGTACCTCTACTAGTCCCAACAGCACGTGTGTCGACAGCTGCATAAGCCAATGCAAAGGAGCGCGCTGGCGCAAACATTGCACGAAGACCTGCACCTGCAAACGCAGACTTCCAGCCGATTTCTGAGCCTCAATGCAAGCGCACACTCTGTCCACGCGACACAAACACCCGCCCACCGCCGCTGCGTTGCTGCTAAGCAAGTCCGCGCACTCGCAACCTGACCACCTCGGACAATACCGCATGCCCAACATGCACTCAAATACGAGGCCCACTATGACCCGAAACCCATCCACGCCCACCAGCGGGCCCCGAGCTAGGACTGCTCGTCTCTCGTCCGACGCGGGAACGGCATCTGCCAACATCGACGCAGGCACTGCCACGCCCACGTCGTCCTCGCCCTCTACCACTTCTGCACCCCACTCGCTTTCTCCCGCCTGCTCGCGCCAGTCCCTGGGGACGGCCTCCTCCGGCACTTGTTCCGCGCGCCCAAGCGACGGCCCCCGCAAACCCCCGCGCGCGAGGCCATGGACCGCCCGCGCCGCGCGACGATTCACGGGGCCCTTTTTCCGCGACCGCGAGGGCCGCACCATCGCCGGGTTGCGTCTCTCGTCCGGCCACATGGTGAAAAATAGCGGCATTCCATGCGCAATTCGCGCCGCATGGGCGTCGCACCTCATGAGCGCCCGCACCTCGCTCGCCCTTTCAATCTTGCGAGCGACGGCGCTGGCCCCTGCAGCCAATTGCTTCGCCATCGGGTCGAGCAACTGCGCGCACTTCAGTTTCGAGGCAAGCCCGCGCACGCTCGCGGACTTCCCAGTTGACGGACCCTTGCACGCGCCGCGCAGAGCATCGACGATGCTCGCGGCCACCCTCTCCAATTCACCTTGCGAATACTGGCATTCCGTCTGCCCGCCCCCCCGATAGTCCGCCAGCCGCACGGACCGCGCCGCGCCCGCGGAATCTTGAAACCAGACCGACGACACCGCGAAACCAAGTTTCCACTCACGCCAAAATTGCGACTCCACCCGACGCGTCACGATGCGCGCCCACAGGGCCATTCCACGCGGGGCGCCGCTGGGCCGCGCCGACGGCGCGCATTCCCCTGCCACTCAGGCAGGCCCGGCACCCCCAACCCGCACACGAGACAGCGCGGAAACGCCACCCCGAAAACCACGGAACGAACTGATTCATCATCTGGCGTCTTGGATACACGACATCACGAACGCGGGACGCGTCCAAATCCATCATCTGCCACAGCCAGAACTGCAGTCTCCAGATCCACACTCGCCGCCCTGCCCCCCCCTGCGCTCGTCCTCGCGAGAGCGCGCTCCTCTCTATCTCCACCGCGCGGGCACTCGGGTCTGTCGCGCCTGCCCGCCCACGCACTTGCGAGACGCAGCGCGAAACTTTGCCTCTCTGGCCAATGCACCCTCTTGGACGGCCGTCGTCGCGCCTGGGCCTTGACTTCCGCGCTCTGCTGGCGACCTCCCAGATACATGCCCCGGCGCACCCTGCCTCGACTTGTTCGCGTCCACTTCGCCCGCCAACGACTTCCCCATCACGGCGGCATTCGGCGCGCGCAAGTCTACGTCGCGCGCAGCCGCTCCCACGGAACCTCGCGCCCCATACACGGCGTCGCATTCTTCTGCGCCACGAGATTGTCCAACGTCGGCGTCATGCGGCAGCGGCCGGTCAATCTCTGGCGGCGCGCCATCCTTCGGCAGCTGTTCGGCCTTTCTTCCAATAGCCTCCACGTTGACGTTTACGCAGGCCCCGCGCCCGCGCTTCTTCATCACCTTGGCGCGGCGCTTCACAACTGCGCGCCGCACGTTCGCCCAATGAATGAAACGCGGCCGGTTGTCCTGAGTAGAGGCGTCGTTGATTTTCAAATGGGATTGCACCACCGATCCCAACTTGTCTCCCACGATCGGCAGCGCCGAGTCGCTTCCCTGTCGCCCTTCCTGGTCCAGCTGACGGAGCTCTTGCAATATCCCCTGCCACTGTAATATGAAGCTCGTGGCATTCCCTCGCGCTGCCAGACGCCCGCGGTGAAATCCTGCTGCGCTGTCAAACAGTTTCTTCTCGCCGTTACTGTTTTCTTGGTCGGTCTGAAACTTCACCTCCAACGAAAAGCAAATCATCGACTTCATGACTGGGCTGCAGCAGATCATCCCCATCACTGTCATGCCCCATGTGTACATGCGATCTGGCGCGTAGAACGCCATCAAATCATTCGCAAGAATGCGGTGCGGAACTGTCGGGGCCGCAGTGGTTTGCCACCGATGCGCGGACACCTCTATCTTGCATTCCGCACACAGAAGCATTCTGCATTCCGGACATGCCGCCCCCTTCCCCTGACAACCTCTGCGGCACCGCTGATTTTCAGGACAACACAAAATTGTCACTTCACCGCGTGACGTCGGGACTGCCACGAACCAATATCGTCAAAATCTTTCCCTTCCCATGCATCACTGTCAAGGTCCAAAGGTCCAAAGCTCCGTTCCCTGCTTCTGACGAGTAGTCCCGTAAGTATGCGTCGACACCGAACCGCAGTTGCACATCCGACATGGTCCAACCGCCAAAGCGACTCACCACGCTGGCGTCCTCTACGGCTGCCGGAAACGGCTGCTCCCAGGAAATCCGCCGGCCCCCTTGTGGGGCCACCAGGCTGCAGGCCGAAGGTTCGCAGCTTCCTGTACAAATTGCAGCTTCCAATTTCCACTCTTGCAGTTATGCTTCTTGCTGTTTACTGTTCCTTGTTGACTTATTGTTGTTTATTGTTCCTGGTTGATGGACCGCGCGAGGGGGGGAGGCCCAAAACGGACATTTATACCACCGAGAAATCGTATTGTCTGAATTGCTGGGGCGGGTGAAAATTAACACCCCTCAAGCAGATCGGCGGGGTCGGGGTCCAAAAACACATGGGCTTGACCACATTTCTAAAATCTGGTGGCACCCCTCACGCGGATCGGCGGGGTCAGGGTCAAAAAACACATGGGATTTGCCACATTTCTGTCATTCGGTGGCACCCCTCACGCAGATCGGCGGGGTCAGGGTCCAAAAACACATGGAATGTGCTACATTTCTGAAATCCGGTGGCACCCCTCATGCAGATCGGCTGGGTCAGGATGTAACATGATCGACCGACGAACCCGGAAACGAATATAGACAAGTAAGACATGGCAACGTTTCAAAGACACCTGATTGGGCGACGGGCAAATGCAATGATGAATGTGTCGATCTTGATGTACTGTGCCGAGGGCTGTGCTGTGCTGCGCCGTGCTGAACTGCGATGTGCCATGCCGCGATTGTGGTCTATAGCGTTGTGGATCGAATCCTCCTTTACATCCGAGTCCTGGCCGAACTGATCTGGGTCGTACGCTCGAGCTGCCTCAGCATATAATAGCTGCCCTAGAGCTGATTGGCAAGGAGACGTGCTGGGAAGACACGCCGCGGAACGTCCCACTGGACGCGCCAGGCGACGTGCCAGGGAACGTACCATGGGGACGCACCGCAGAGGTGCCAAGGGGACGCGCTACGGAACGTGCCAATGGACGTGCCACGGGACGTGCCAGGCGACGCGCTGCGCGACGTGCCAGGGGGACTCGCCACGGGACGCGCCACGGAACGTGCCAGGGAACGTGACAGGTTGCAATGCTGAGTGCATCGATCTTGATGTACAGTGCCGAGGGCTGTGCTGTGCTGCGCCGTGCTGAACTGCAATGTGCCATGCCGCGATTGTGGTCTATAGCACTGTGGATCGAGTCCTCCTTTGCGTCCGAATCCTGACCGAACTGATCTGGATCTTAAGCTCGAACTGCCCGAGCACTAGTAGCTGCCCCAGAGCTAATTGACAGGGGAACGGGAACCTGCCAGGAGGACGCGCCGCGGACAGTCCCAAGGGACGCGCCAGGCGACGTCCCAGAGAACGTGCCATGGGAACGCACTGCCAGACGTGCCAAGGGGACGCGCTGC